GCCTGAAAGCTTGCAAAGAACAATTTTTCCAACTATTTAGTTGATCTAATAAAAGATCTCACATTTACCCAAAGAACTGTCAGACTGTTGCAGGGGAATACTTTCCCTTAAGATGGTAATATGGAATATTGCATCTTTACCCCCATGACCACGACGAAGGTGGAAGGAAAACTCAGACTGCACACTGCTCTCCAGTTGGGTGGCAGGGAATGGTGTGATCCCACCACCAAATTCTGAAAGAGATGGTACATGAGACTGTAAGTCTGGTAGGAAAAGCTTCTAATAAATCTGTGTAGCTGGGGGTCATATTGTGTATTGCTGAAGAATAGTAAATATAGTACTCTGTGTTCAAGAAGGAGGGACAAATACAGGTCTGTTAGTCTGACCCGAGTAGTAGGCAGAGTGTTGGAACAAATTTTGAAGGAAAGAATTAGTATTAATAAATGGTTAATTATCGCGCAATTCCATTATATAAATGGAAGATGAGACAAAATGTGCTAACAGTACTATGTGTACAACCATGTTCACATCTGACTGTTAAGCCTAATTGCTTTGCTTGGCATAGGAACTGTAGCAGATGTAATCTAGCTGGACGTCAGCAAAGCAGTTGATACCATGCCATGTTGGAAATCATTAGTTAATTTGGAAAAGAGTAGATTAGTGCAAAGAATTGAGAGGGACTGACTTAAAGGGGAGATGACGACAACAGGTTGGGTTGAAAGTGGAACTACTGGACTGGAGAATGCTACTAAAAGGAGTTTCTCAAGGACTGGTTTGGAGACCAATATTTTGGTTTTCTACTAATATCATTGGATTTCTCTTGATACAGCTAGCACAAAAGCAGGATATGTACTAATAAAATTTGCTGATGAGGCAATTAGGAGGCATTATCAGAGAAGCTTATAATGTAAAGGCAGAAGTGGATGTTCTTCAGGACTGAAATGATAGACATTAGATGAAATTTAGTACTGCAGCATGCAAGGAATTCCCTTCAGGACTAATAGCAGTTTCTGCTACAAGCGGGTAGTTTTATCTCTTGGAAATGAGTGCGATATGGATATGCTGGTTTGATCACAGGATTAGTATGAACAGCTAATATTATTGGGCAGTAAAAGTGGCAAATATATTTCCAGGTGAGTGATTTCCAGGATAGAGAGAGAAGTGATAGTGGTGTGGTTAAAAGGCACTGGTGGGATCTCACCTGTATACATTTCTGTTCACCCACATTTAAGAAAGATTAAATCCTAGTGGATGATCAAGGGAATGAAGGTCCTGTGTTTAAGAGACTGAAAGAGCTTTGTTCATTTAGGGCATTTATAGACGTGCTCTTGAGGGGGCTCTGAGAGCTGCTCCAATTAAAGTGCCTGGAGTGTCGCACGTATCAGTGTTTCTGTGCTGAAAAATGGCCATAGAGGCACTTTCACTAAAGGCTGTTGAATGAGCTTTAGTGAAAGCACTGCTGCCGCCACTTTTCAGCACAGGGACGCTGATGCACATGATGCTGGAGTCTCCTGGAGCACAGTAATTCCCACACTCCAGCAGACTCAATTAATGATGTCTCCTCTGACGCTGTAATTACAGTGCATCAGAGCAGCCTCTCTGCATGTGTATAGGTGCCTTCAGTTTTTAGTAAAATGCAGTCTGAGAGCTAGAAGAACTATTTAAGTGAATGGACAGTGTTGGCACAAATGCATGTGAATACATTTAAGAAAATTGAAGAAAGTTCACAACTATTACAGCAGTAAGGGTCTGGAACGGCCTCCTGGTAAGAGCAGTGGAGCAAAAAAGTGGAACAGCCATCTTAAAAGTGGTTGTGAAGAAGGCTGTAATGATGCAGTCGCCTGTAGCAGCAGGGGACCAGACTCGTCTTAAAAAATCCTTTCCAATCATGTGTTCCTTGGCAGAACGACTGTTTTATAGTTAATGAGCCTGAACTAGTGACTGTATTGTTAGTGTCAGAAATACCTTTGCGTGGCGATGCTGTGCAGTCAGAACAGGTATTGGGCCTGCTGTGTTCTGCTGGATTTTTTTTTACTTGCTGCCTTCACTTGCTTGTGCGTTTCCCTACGAAGAAAGATTACAGGGAAAGAGAAGCAAAGATGAGACTTGGGGGGAGGTGGCTTGGGACGTTCTACTTTTACACTGTCTGGTGATTTCTATTAAAGGGTTTTCTAATATATATTATTATTTACTAGGAAATATGGTGAAATTCTGCCCCTCTGACAGGAACTGCTTTGACATTCATTTTTGCTCTCAGTATCACATTGTTCCTGTGAACAGACACACATGCACCCTGTTTTCACGGCCTTGTTACTGGCATAACTACATTTTATATTGCTAAGCAGCAGTCGGCACCATGTATCCTTCGTTCTGCTACTTCATATTCTAGTCTGTGCTGAAGTGCCTAATGGACTTGGGCTCAGAATCTATCAAAAGCTAAAGGTTTGATCAATGAAGAAAAAATGATTGATGTCTTATATTTTGTGTGATGTTTGCCTGTCATTTCCTTACAGACTAGACTTTAAAGGCTGTCTCAGCTCTGAGAAGGGCAATTTAAAACCTGTGCTTTAATGCATTCCTAGAGAGTTGAACCTTGATCATCTTAATATCCTCTGACGGGGTATTCATCTTACATGCGGCTTCCTATAAATGTAGTTAAAATGTGCTACCTAGGCATGTGATTCAAACATTTTATTTATAAAGAAAATAAATGCATAGCTTAGTGGGTCTTAAGACTATGATAGACAACTATAACTATTAATTTAATTTGGAACAGAATCTACATAACATTAATCAACGAATTTCACCCAGTAAATACACCTCTTATGCACGTAAGCTATACATTGCCAGTTTAGATCTTTTTTAAAAATCTAGCTTTTATTAAAGAACATTTTTAATGTACTACTTCAATATGTTTAAGAAAAAAAGTGGACAAATGTTCAGAGAAAAAAAGAAATCTGAGGAGAATTTTAAAAACTATAGATGTTTGACCAGCTCAACAGCCACTGATTCCTGACCTTTTGCATTGACTTTTGCCAGCTTACAGAATCCCACCTTTACTCCAGCCTGTGCAATGAAATTATAGGTCCTCTTCCCAGTAGGGAAAGCCTGGCTATGAGGTCAAGTGCTCCGAAAATCACACTTACCATCAACAATAAGCTATAAGAAATAGCAAAAAGACTTATTGTGAAAACAAGGGATTTCATAATAATCAGTAACCGTATGCTGAGGGCAGACAGGGATATGAAAAAAATAAAAAGGTATAATAACAAAATTTGATCTTACGCCCGATGCCTTAGCACTAAAAATCAGGTTGGTCAGAAGTAGAAGCTCAAAGTCCCTTGTGTTACCCAGCTTTTCTTATTGGGAGACTAAAGTACCCAATGGCTGGGAATTTTTAGACCCCATTTGCCTCTCTAGGCATGACTTAAGTACGTTTTCTTGCACCTGATTACTTGCATATTTTTTCCACTGAATACTTGGAAGCATGTAACTTCCAGGTCCCAGATGTACATCTGTTTATCATGCCAGTCCTAATCCAATTATTTTTAGGAAATGTTTATATCATTTTAGTCTAATTCAGTATCTCCAGTTATAGTTTGGTAGTGTCAGAGTGATGTTTTAAACTGTGATGGTGCAAGAGTTGCCTCTTGGATTATTCCTGCACCATCATGACTCTTGTGTCATTCCAACACTACCAAATGTGTAAAATACTGAAATCTGGCAATTCAGGTGGAAAATGCACAATCTTTAAGGGGAAAAAAGCTGCCAGATTACACAGCGACATCTTTCTAAGCTTGTGAAGAAACACGACAACATCTGCAAAGGACTCATTATCTGCAGCCCTCTAGCTAAGACATTCAACTTCATATATGCAACACAACTATGCTGGAGAACCTTAAACAAACTGAGAAACCATTTTCTTCACCTAACCTACTCCAAAAGGGATCCTATTTATGCAACTAAATTAAGAGAGATTAACCAGGAGACATTGCTGGCTACAATGCAGCAGACACAACATATGACGGAAAATACCTGATGACAGCCATCTAACACAAGGGTGCACAGCCTCCAGCCCGTGGACTAGATCTGGTCTGCAGTGCCTGCCATCTGGCCTGCAGGGCTCCCCATGTGTCCAGAAATTTGGTGGCAGGGGAATGGAAATTTGCTCGCCTGCTGCCATATCTCTAGGTGTGTGAGGCCTGATCCCAGTGCACTGGGCTAGGCAAAGGTGGCTCTGGGCCCCAGGGCCTAGTCCTGGTGTGGGGGCTAGGAAAGGGCATTACTACCTCTGTCCCCCAGACCCAGTTTTGTCAGCCCCTGCTTTGCTGGGGACCCAGTCCCATTGGGGGGGGAAGGTGCCAGGTCCTCAAGACCCAATCCTGGGATGTGGGGCAGGGAGGGTTGATACTGAGCCCCAGGGCCTGATCTGGCCCAAAGGTGGGCCCCCTGCTATGCATCTAGCGCCCAGGGCCAAAAGATTATACACCACTATTCAAATAGAAGAAGAAAAAGTAGATTTGGCCATCACAATAGAAGCTACCTCACAGGCAGCATACCAGACACTAAACACTGCGTAACATTAGCTATGAATAGGTACCAAATACTGAATGGTAAATCTTAACATTAACTGTAAATAGAGACCCAATTCCTGAAACTACTTATGCATGATGTTCCATGAACCCCCAAAATATTGACTGCTTGTAACAGGGGGAAAACTTTAAAAAAAATACGGCGCTTGCTGATTTTTTCACTCTCTCTATTGCAAAACTTACAGAAGAATTGCTCTTGTGCTGCATGTAAAGCTGCTCTGTGAACTCTTACCATCCCTCTTACGGGCATGGTATTCTAATTTGATGTATGGGAAGAGGGAGGTACGGAAAAATTAAATTTCTTGCCTAGCATGTCAACAGATGAATCAGAAATGCAACGCAGCTCCCAGACCTGGAGCTTAACCACTGAACTAATTATGTCTTAATAATGTTGTTTTACATTTGTAGGAAACCTGTCTAGTTTAAGTCGTCTTGGCCTGAGGTACAATAGGCTGTCGTCAATTCCGAAGTCGTTTTCAAAATGCAGTGAACTTGAAGAACTGAATTTGGAGAACAACAACATTTCTACTTTACCAGAGGTGAGAGGCACGAGGTGCAGGTTGGGGTGAATGTGGTCAGGAATTTTTCAGTTTCAGGACATCAGAATAAAGCAGACAAAAAGGTGCCGAAGGCTCACTTTGGTCTCTTGCCTCGGCTTAGGCAAGAATGTCCTGTTCGTTCTGCACGCAAAGAATTGTCTTTAGCATCTTCGTAATGCGGGCTCGAGTGCAGTCTTATACCAGTGTTACCTTACCACTGCAGTACGTCTTTCTTGACGACACACCACCCAGTGGCAAAAAGAAAATTCATCAGCATTTCTTTGGTGACCTGGGATTGTGCACAGGGCTAGGAAGGAGCGACTCTTCTGCTTTGTGCTTCTCCAGTAACTGCCAGTCCAACTATTTTCCTGCCCCATCCCAGTCATAGGATATGCTAGTTTCCTTAACCATCACTGCACTTGACTTTGCAGGGAACATGATGCTCCTAGGGATTTGGCACCTAATTTCCCTCTAGAAAGAATACTTTTCAGCTCAGTTTGTGGTTTGGAGCTGGTGAGAGAGATGAGGCCTGATTCCAGTAAACTTAAGTACTCTCTCTACTCTGAAATACCCACAAACATCCCATTTTTTTCTGCCTGTGATACAGATTGTTATTGGCAATTCAAAGAGGTCAGAGCACAATCTTAGACTGGGGTTTGCAGAGCCCTGCTAGTTTGCACCTTTGCTCTTCCCATGTCTCAGATTGACATAACAGGACAGCAGTCCATCGGATTTCATGGTGATGATGGCTTTTTGCACTGGCAAATGTTTAGAAGCCACTTTTTAAATTAAAGCTTAGTGTGTGAGTAAGAATCGCTCAACTTGTGAATTCACTCTAAAATCAGCAGATTGTTTGGGTTTTCTTTGCTTCCTTGGCAAAGCATATTGCTTCTATTTAGACTTGTAGAAAAGTAGGGCTGGAAGGGCCTTTCAGAGGCCATCCAATCAAGCTGCCCATATGAGGCAGATTCATCCATATCCAAACCATCCTATGCAAATCCATTGTTTAACCTATTAACAAAACTACAGCATAAACCCTGACACAACCACATGGCATAACACCCTCAACTGCCACAGGTAAAGCAGGGGGACCATGGTGGCTGGTGTCTTGCTGTTGCAAATAATAAGCTTGAGAGATCCAACGAAGAGGGCCGCAGCTCCTGGTACAGAGGAAAGCAGAAACCCCGACAGTCCTTACAAATCTGGCCATGGCATAAAAGCCCATCCTCATCCCAGATATGGCAGTCAGTCTGACCCTGAACAGAAGGGCAAGACCCTCTAGCCAGGAACCTCTGGGTTTAAGTCGCAGCAGCAGCTTTGATGCTTCCCAGTCAGTATCCCCAGCCTTGGCTGCTGCCAACACCCAGTGGTCCTGAGGAAGTTGAAAAAAGAGTGAACAAACTGTGTCATAGAAGGGGGAAAACATTCTTTTCTGGCACCATGGGGCAACCAGCAAAGCCCAGAAGCATGGGAAATACCTGTAATACAACATAGACATCCTAGAAGCCACATTAGTCTTCTACCATTCATGTGCTTTCATTGTGTGGGAATGGTTTCTTGTTGGGCTTCCAGTATTGTGCCCTTTAAAAGCTTCCAGCCCTCCTGGGTGCCTTTATCCTTCAGTCTTTCTTCCCATGGTACCATGTCTATTAACTCCCCTTGTGTGGGTTGAATTCTGCCTTTTTGAAACCTGGCATCTTAGTCCTGCTGACCTTGTGCTTTCCCCGTCTCAGGATCATGAATTCTATCAAATTGCAATTGCTTCCTCCCAAATTTCCCATCATGTTTGTTTTCCACCAGTTTTTCCCTATTGGTCAGGACATGATCCAAGATAGATGATTTGCTAGTTGTATCCTCAACCTTCTGGAACAAAAAGTTGTCCCCCACACAAGTTAGGGTTGTCTTGACATTTTATATCTGGCTCTCTTATTCTTCCAGCAGACATCCAGCAAGTTGAAGTCTCTTACCAGTACCATCTTATAACTTTTGGATTGTTTTGTCATCTACTTGAAAAGTGCCTTATCCACCTCTCCATCCTGACTTGGTGGCCTACAATAAATCCCCAAAATTATATTGTGGCTGTATCTTTCATCTTATAGCTTCACCCAAATATTTTGATATACTGTCTTCGCCTTCTGAACCAGGGAACAAGTGTATGTTTTTGCCATACAAGGTGACACCATCACTTTTTCTTCCAACCCTGTTCTTACAAAATGAATTGTAGTTCCCAGCATTGACGTTTCAGGCGTAAGAGCTGTCCCGCCAAGTCTCTTTGATACCAATCAGTTCATAGTTCTTTTTCGCTGGGCTATGACTTCTGGCTCATTTTGGTTTTTCACCCCATATTTCTTGCATTTGTATACATACATTGGACATATATTGCATTTTAACCTACTTGTTTCTCTTTTGCATCTCTTGTTGCTGTCTTCTGACTTTCTGGCCCTTTCCCAGGATTGAGCAGCTACTTCCAGTCCTTTCCGCCCCTGGATTTTTTTCTCTGTTACCACCATCCCCTGTGGAATCTAGTTGAAAACCCTCCTTGCTAGGTTAGGCAGACGATGCCCAAAGGTACTCTTCCCTGTTATGGCAGTCTTTCTATGATGGCACAAGTATAAACAGCACATTTTACAATTCACATTTATACTTCACTATAGGAGAATCCTGTTGGAGACGGAAGGAGTTTTGCCACAGACCTAATTGGATTCAGGATTTTCCCTTATGTTTTCTAGGGGAAAGTCCCTCCCATCTTGTAGAACTGATTGGAGCTTAAGATTTCAGAATACACTGAACAGAATTTATTCTACTATATTTCAAAGCCTCGTCTAAATGTTACCACCACATCATTTCAGTTTTTGGACTTGTTCTACAAAGAACCACATGTTGCTCTTGAATTGCCTGTATCAAATAATTAAAATCTACCTCAATTGGATGAGTGAAGTGGGAGGCTTTACAGACAACAAAAGAGCTGAAAATAAATTGGGGAAGCTTTAGAAGCACCCAACTACAATAATTGCTTTTCTGCAGAGTAATTATCTTAAGTTCAGCAATGATTGACTAGAAACAGAATTGAATAAATATTGAGGTAAAACTGACTTATGTTCACTTTTGAGAGAAAGTAGCCTGGCTGCTTTTAAGAACAAAGCTTAGCGACTCCACCCAGGCTTCTTATGGAAGTAACTGCCCTGTGATTGCAGATACAAAAGTGATTCACTAAAGAACTGATTACGTCTTCTAAAGTAAGCTGACTTGTAACACAAAACTCCCTAGACATAGTTCTGCTTTACCCATAGGGGTTAACCTGACAGTTAGTTACACATAAGTACAAAGGGGCAGCTCAAGTATTCATGTGGTAATGTAATCCATTTAAAATTAAGCATCCTTGGCTACAGTATAAAGAAACTCTGTTTGTAGTGAAAATTGCTGAATTGCAAAACGTAGCCAGAACTCATTACACAATAGCTAATAAATATTATATCGTAAAAGGATGGTTTAGGAAAAGAAGTTCCACAGTTTCCATAAATATTGAATGCATTGTTCTTGTCTAATGTGTAACTAAGCTTTCCTCTTTCCTTTCAAAAACATTTTAATTGTTAATTACTTGTGAACTCTTAGACTGCACCAGATAATATATATTATTATTGTTAATGTCTTTGCATAGTCATAGATATAAAAAGTGGCATTTGAAATGCAAAGGTCTGTTTGAAACAATAAGGTTTAAGTGTTAGGCAACCCCGGAGCACTACTGCAAAGTTGAGAACCAGGAACTCCAACCATATAAAACTTGCTAAAAGGAGGATATCCTCCTAGAAGACTGTTAAATAATGATTAGATTTTAATATGACTAATATCTCTGCAATGTAAAGGTCTATTGTTTAAGTTTTTTGGGGAAAATTGTTACAGTGATTTGACTGAGATAAGTCTTTTGTGTGTGCGTGTTCAAATGTCTGCAAGTTTATCGGCTCACAACAGCATGCAGTAGATGAAGTTGCAGTTTAATTCTCTCTAGCAGCCGAAAAACACTTGTGGGTAAAGCCCATTGAGGCATATTTTATGGCAGCTGTGATGTAGTTGTGACCCAAAAGTGAAGAAATTTGAATTTGAGGTTGAAGTTTTTTGTGAAACTGCAGCTTTTCTGTCCTGAGCCTAGTTATTACAATATTTATGATATGTAATATCATTCATAAATGTCTAATCCCTGCCATAATTAAGCAAATAGGGCTGAATTTAAGGTTGGCATAATAACAAGCAGAGATGAAATTTCAGCTGTAGAATGGCATTCACTATTTATTTCTGTAGTGCCAACTGTGGGCGCCTAGCAATTTACTGCCCGGTAAGAACCTGCGGTCTCTGTCTGACGGCCTTATAATCTAATTACATGCAAGAAAGCCCAGAAAGGCAGATGAGAAGATGAGCAGTGGGTTTGACTAGCAGCTCAGCAACCAGTTTAATGCTGGCTTTTTGTTTTTGCATCTCTTTATTCTTTGTTTGTCACAAAATGGCAAATATAGTTAAACTTACGGCAGGAATACGATCCCCCCCCTCCCCCCCCCCATTTCTGAGAAATGCAGATATGGGGCTGGTGCAGGGAAGGTGGCAGAGGTGTGCGAGTGGGTGGGTGAGTGTGTGAATGTGATGTCTTCTGGACTGTTTTGGTTAGTGTGTGTTACCTGAACTGTGAGATGCTTTTAAAATACTTGTTTGCCTGGCTGCAGTGGCTGAAGTTGTAATAGTCTGTAAAGGGAATTTGGCGTTGTCAGGTCTATTCATAAAATAGACTTTTTTTAAATACACATCTGTGTTACTATAATAACACATTGAAAAGCAGTGTATTGGTTACCGTCTACTTGAGTCCACATACAACAGTTTAGCACCATTAGTTTTGTACTTCCTACACAATTGCCATGAAGCTTGTCCCAGTTCAGAAGTACAGGCTGCACTTCATTTAGTACTGGAAATGCTGGTTAGACATGGTGTATTTTTGGCTGAGCTTTCTAGCTGTCCACTCTCTGGATTGCTCTAGACAGAGCTATCAGTGTTTGCTGAAAACTGAGCAACAGGTTATAAAACCATTACTTTTTTTCAGAAGTAGCATTTGGAAAGAAAAATAATAGCTGTGTTTCCAAATGCTGGTATGTTGCCCTCTTGTATACTGGTACAATGTGGGCATGTCAACAAGTTCATTAATGTGCTGTAATTATGGCACATTTGGTTTAGCACTTGTAATAACAGCGTTACTGCGCATTAAGTTTAGTTTGGTACCTGTAATACTACAGGGAGTAATTTAGGACCTGTTTTTTAGTAATAATAGGTACTAAGTTAATGCGCTGTAATCAGCGCTACTGCGCATTAGCACAAAGGCATGCTTTTAAAGTGACATTAATGCTCATTAGACTAAATCCTACTGCACTTTAGCACGGTTTTTGCCAGCTGCACTAATGCGCAGTAGAATTTGTCTTCTGCACATTAAGCACCTTGTTTAGATGTGCCCTATGTGTGGGAGCACAGAAATAAAGGTAACACCTAGAGATAGAGAGAGAAATTAATTGGGTGGGCTTTTACTGAATTTAAGGCTAGCTAATATTACAGCACTTCTATTTTTGGGGTGTAGTGGGGGAAGTTTCTTAAAGTGACCTAGTGGGGAAAGGATGCATGTTCAACTAAATGTAAAATCCTAAACTTGAGTAAATAGATGTGCTGAATGGGTGCATGTGTTCATTTTCTACAGGGACTTTTATCCAGTCTTGTGAAGATGACTAGTTTAACACTAGCCAGGAATTGCTTCCAGTCGTACCCTGTGGGTGGTCCATCACAATTCTCTACAATCTACTCTCTCAACATGGAACACAACCGCATCAATAAAATCCCCTTTGGAATTTTCTCTAGAGCGAAAGTGTTAAGCAAGCTGAACATGAAGGTGAGGCACTGTCATGCTAATGTTTTTAAAATCCAGACCAGAGGATTGAATTGATTTCTGTGAACTCCAACTACGTAAAGAACAGAAGACATATAAGACCTAAAGAAAGGCACTTTTGCCTTAGTTGCATATTGCAGGCACAAATCCGTTACCAAATATTTTACTGACTTAAAAGAAAAAAGCCGAGATTATTGAAAGTAAAATGTTTTTTAATTTTTAAACCTTTTTCTGCTGTTAACTGCAGCTTCGACTTCAGTTTGTTAAATGAAAATCATCATGCATTAAATTAGTTGCGGATTCATATTTCCAAGCACACACGTTTGAGTCTCGGAATACTACAAGGCAATAGTTCATTTCAGTGGAATAGAAAATTATGGAATTTACTAATATTATTGGCTTTTTGGTTTTGTATAAATTTGGGCTTTCTGTAAAATGATCTAAATTGGGATTGTGTTGTGGGGAATATAGCTAGTGAGAACAAATAGGAGTACTTTGCCCCTTCTGTGTACTGTGCTAGGTGCTGTATGTGTTTGATTTAAGGACATATTTTTGTTTCTAGACTGCTAGACAGGTTACAGATGCAGAAAATAGACTGTATGAACAGTTGAATAACACTGAAGCAGTTGGATTGCTTTAACGTATGACCAAGTACAGCCAGAGATAACAATGTTTCTTAGACATGACAAACAATTTCTTGATGTAATTTTAAAAAACGCATTTGTTGATAGATGACGCAAGTTGTTTATTCCTAGTTGGACAGCGTTGAAAAGATAGGAGCTTTCAAACTGTCTTTTCTTCAAAGAGCTTGCGGACTGAAATACAAACTTAAATGGAAGTGCAACATTAAAGGTTCGAGGCATTGGCTGGAACGTGTTTTAGAGGTTTTAATATTATTACCAAAACTCTATAACTCTTCTTTGGATATTGGATCCATTTTCATTAGCTTAAATTCGTGCTGACTTCAGATAAAATGGTATCTTGAAGATAACTGAATTATTAAAGTTGGTGTCTTGATGTGTTACCTTGGAAAGGGCGTTCTGTTTGTAGTTGCAGTGCAGGAGAATGAGACGAAAGGAGAAACGTTTTCTGTGGAAGACTGAATTGATTTGCGTTTTTAAAATTATTTCAGAAAATACACATGGGGGGAGAGAGTATCAGGCCATGTGAAAGCTGCAGTTAAGGTTGGCTGTTGTCAGGTTTAAACACTTAGCGAAATGTTTGTTGGTCTCTAACGTAGATAATTATTCTTCTGTAAAGGTACCAGGCAGTCTTTAATTTGTTTACCAATAGTTTGAACAGCCTGGCTACTGGTTAGTTTGAATTCCCGCTATCCAGTGGCTTGGACCTAATCGTATTTCAGGCAGTCTGGGTAACTCGAGATTGTGATTCATTCCCAATGTTTGTACTGCATCAGCAGTTCTGGTGCATCTGTTGTTTGCAAACACCAGGTGTAGAGTTTTTATAACGCGGGTTCAGTCCCTGACTGGTCCTGGTGTTCCAGCTGCCGGTCATAGGCCTTGAACCATAAATAACACTGATTCTTAGAAAGCAATTTAAGTGTACTTGACTTTGCTGAGTCATTAATAGCATCGGTGCCCAATATGGGTCAGTTTTGTTTTGTTCTCTTCCAGTTCCCCCTTAAGGCAGGTATTCATGCCCAAAGTGTTCATATTGGACCCAAGTATACACTCTCTCGAAGAAAGTAACGTGTCAGACAACTGCGACAACTGAAATGTCAAGAGTTCTTGCCCTTCTAGTCTGCCCTTTCCATTTGTCACGTTGGTAATGCAAAGAAAGCTCTATCTCAAGATTGGATGGTGCTCATCACATTTTTGGAATTCTTCTTTTTTAAATGTTCTAATATTTATCAAAGTTTTTCCTGTAGATTTTAAGTAAAAATAAATATATATATTTTTTTTATTTAAAGTAAGTGCTCCATTTTAATTCATTCTCCAAGCTGGCTGCTTTTCAAATGCAAAATCTAAATGTTTCATGTCTTCAATCACAGGACAATCAGCTGACCTCTCTTCCTTTGGACTTTGGAACTTGGATTAGTATGGTAGACCTGAACTTAGCCACTAATCAGCTCTCAAAAATTCCTGAGGATGTCTCTGGGCTGGTTTCCCTTGAGGTGAGAACATAGTGAATATCTGAGTAACCAAATCTTCAGATAATAATTTTCTCTGTTTCTGATTTAAGTGATGTTATTTTGGGTAATCCATGAAAAAAATGTAAAGAAGTATGTGTACATTTCAGATGCTTAGGTCTTACTTGAATAACCTTTTTGGAGTCTGGTGCTCTTGAATGCTGTGCGTACACATCTCATGTATTATTTGCTTTGAAAAAGAAATGCCTCCCAACCATATGTATAGTGTTATGGAAAATAAAATGAAATCAAACTAGGTTCAGTGCTCAGAAGCTCCAGCATAGAAGTAAAGGAAGCCAAAAAATCCAGTGAAGGGATAAGCCTTAACCATATGGACCAAGCCTTAACCATAAAGGTGGACACTTGGTACTCTCTTGGACCTTCTTTGGGCAGGAAATTATGTAGGCAGATGCCAGGAACTAAGATGAGCCTTCTCTTTTGTTCTTACTGGGAACGTCTACACAAGGCGCTAACTGCTCAGTAGCCTAGTAACACTTTGCAGTAGTGTGCTGGGCAGAAACCATGCTAACACGCCACTGTGCAGTAGTATTAGGCTATTATGCAGTAAGCATCACTAAAATCCCATGCGCTGGCACTAGTGCACAATAGCATGATTTGCTGCACATGGATTTAGTACTTGGTTAACCAAGTACTAAACTTAATGTGTAACAACTGTGGTGCATTAATGAATGTGTAGACGCGCCCACTCAGATGGAACCCTGTAAGGGTGAGCAAAGACAGACGAGTTTAATTGCCTGAAAGGGACAGAAGGGCATTTGAGCAAGTAGTTCTGCACGTTAAGGGAACTCTGAAACCGTCAGCAGGTCACTGAAAAGAATCTGTTGATAGAGCCAATAATAAATGGCACACTTAAAGTTTAAAGATGCTCCAGTATAACTGTTTGTGCTGTAACTTTCCTTCCAATCAGCTGATAATTTTCTGTGGTTTGCGGGGAGGTTAAAATTTTATGTAGGTAGGGTGTACTCAATGATCCAGTTCTCTTTCACTCAAGAATCTTTCTGTTTATAATATCAAAATCAGCAACTTCTGGAAAATGGACAATGAAATGCCATGCTACTCAAGCCAGAGATCTTTAAGGCCTGGAAGGCCATTAGCTTTATTTTCCCTTAAAATAAAGATGTGGGTACAAAGAGTTTTTTATGCAATGTTTTTAATGCAAAAACTGAAGGTTTCTGCAGCAGTGCAAAACAGAGGGCTCCTTAGGGATTAGATCACTGGGCTCTGAGCACTTGCAGATCATACTGAATTAACATGGTGTCATGGACACTTGGAGCTACTAAAAATTAAATGTTGCATGTCAGTTTGCTCATTAGTAAAATGTCATAATTGCCTGCCTCATGGTGGTATGAGGCTTGATTGCTTTTAGGGATCTTTTAGCTCCCCGGGTGAAAGGTGGTGTATTAGTGCAAACTGTGAATAATATAATTATTTATGCGGCATCATAGGTGACCCTGGTACTTGAAAGCATAGGTAAAGATGGATTTTTTAGCCCAGAGGAGCTTCATCTAACTGAAATTAGAACAAATAGGAGGTGGTGGCAACCCCAGGAAGACTAGGGAAGGGGATTGATAAATGATCACTTGAGAGATGAGTGCATGTGTGTAGAGAATTCCCAAGTGCTTCGTTATGCAAGGTTTCAGGGCTCCCTTTTCAAAATCCACTTGTGGATGGACTTGAGGAGGGGGTGAGGCTTGGTAGATCAGGGAGGGTATGGAAAGCAGAGGGGACAACAAGAAAGAGGACAGTGGGGAAGGCAAAGAAAATGAAGTTTGTAGTAGGTCTGGTTTTCTTCACTTGTTAGCTCTGTTTTGTTTTTATCTTTCCTGTAGTCTTGTGCATTTTTCAGGTAATTTCATTGATCTGCAATCTGTTCTTGTCAATTTAAATTTCAGTAATTTAACTTTGTAGAATATTTTTTTTAATTGCTGATTTTTGTTTCCTTATTTTTTACTCCCATAGGTTTAGCATGTGCCGGTTTTGCACTGAATGTCATGTAGTTCCAAAGTGTAAAGAGAGACTTTTATTGTTTGCTTTATTATGTTACTGAAAACACATTTTTTTCTTAAGGTTCTTATCTTGTCAAACAATCTTCTAAGGAAACTTCCCCATGGCATTGGAAATCTGCGGAAACTGCGAGAATTGGATCTAGAGGAGAACAAACTGGAATCCTTGCCAAATGAAATAGCTTACCTTAAGGATCTGCAGGTAAAGCAATGAATTGAGATGTATTGTATAACCCTTTCATTTATACCAAGCCAATTTGAAAGTTCTTTGTTAAACTGATTGTACTCATCACTCCTAGGAAAGCTTAAGGAAGGGATTCAGATTAGTGTAGGCAATCAGTTATCAGGACTCTTAGTTTTATTCCCACTGTTTCCATCATCTTGGTTAATTCTGTGATCCAGTTAGACCATATAACATTGAATAAAATAACAAAGTCATTACTGGAATAGCTCAAGATTTCAGTAATGTTTATAAAAAGCTGTTATTTTTTTTGATGAAATGTAGGTCTAAAAGTATATATTTACTGCTATATTTAATAACATTCAACAGAAATTTTGAACTTTGTCAAGAGGTAGGGATTGCTCCCTCTTCTGCAAGCTGTTGTTTTACCGGCTAGATTTTCTGATATTTCTCTGTCTGTTTGAAAGCATGTAGTATTAATTTAGTATTTTTAAAAACTTCCCCTCCAGAAACTAGTTTTGACTAATAATCAGTTGACCACCCTTCCAAGAGGAATTGGTCACCTTACCAATCTGACGCATCTTGGGCTTGGAGAGAATCTTCTTACACACCTTCCTGAAGAAATTGGTAAGATGCTGTTTCTGCTTTCACATACAGTATGATAAAGCAATAATTGCCAGGTGGTGGCAACCTCTGGCTGCAGCCCATGTGGCCCACCAACTTATTTCATCCAGCCTGTGAAGATGGGACGTACGTTGTCTGCCTTTGGACCAAAGTCTGTTAATTTAGCCTCCTGTTCCTAAAAGGTGCCCTGCCCTAGAGCCCTGAGAGAGACCATATAATATGCATCTCATATGTCCACAAAGCACATAAGTGCCATACTGGGTCAGGCCAATGGTCCGTCTAGCTCCGTATCATTCTGTCTCTGACAGTGGCAGAAATCAATGCTGTAGAGAGAGAGCATTGAATCATTTATCGCTAGAGTGACCTATCCCTATTTGGTATCCTTTCTGGCATTCACCGTTATTGGTTTAGAGATGCTAGAAGAAACATTTCCAAGTTTCTCCACATGAAAAACATATCGCCAGAAGAACTGTCTTGGGAAGAGCACTGCAGCATGTTTTCTCGTAACTGTTTCATAAAACTATAGTGAAGGAAATCATCTTTTTTTTTTGCTGATTAGTTATTCTGTATATGAACAGTTTTTACAGAGGAAAACTAAAATGGAGTAATATGTTTCTCTGTGTTAGCACCTGATAAAGTAGATTGTTGTCTGTGACAGTGCATGGCTCTCTGAAGCAGTTAGTCCTGAAGGGGGCCACCCTGCTCTACCTTCTGCCTTCCTGTGTGTGTGGATAAATAGCATTTTAAAATTATTCCACTTTACAGCTGAGCCTCTGTAACTGTTTCATAGTTTCTAGGGTCGGAAGGGACCTGAGAAGATCATCTAGTCCGACCCCCTGCCATGGCAGGAAAGAGTACTGGGGTCAAACGAACCCAGCAAGGTGTTCATCTAACCTCCTCTTAAAACCCCCCAGGGTAGGAGCCAGCACCACCTCCCTTGGAAGTTGGTTCCAGACCCTAGCCGCCCTGACTGTGAAATAGCGCCTTCTGA